TACCCAACTGCTTTCCCTCCAGTGAACGTATAGTTCCCTTTCCACTGGCTTATGAACTCCTCAGATGGCTTTGACCTCGCCAAGAACTCATAGTCCACTTCATAACTCACCGACCCTTTCACCTGCATCCCTAGGAACAGTCCGAAACAATAGATCGAGCTCTGCTGGTCCAAGTTGCAATGCGCCGAGAGAAAGAACCCTTGACCACCTAAGTAAAAGGCCTGAGAATAAACTCTCCCTGAAGGGAACAGTCCTACACATTCTTCTCTTTTCAGGTCTAAGTAGACCACGCATTGAGGTATAGGAAGCTCAAACTCAACTACTTTCACCGGTCTGTGCTTGTAAGCCCTCTCTATGAGGCGACGGTGCTCTGAAGCTGATTCTTGAGCAGCTAATGTACGTTTCTTGTGTGGTGCTTCCGCCTTGAAGAAAAGCGCTTCCACAACGAGCTTTGATGCTATCTCATGGTCAAAGTCACTGCATGTTAGCACCTTCTTGAGCTTACGGCATGACATGAACGGGAAGCGTATGAAGTGTGCGAGGTGTGAACCAAGAACCTCTCTTCGCTCATCCAATGAAGGGTAATGCTCTCTTGCCCATTTCAAGATCAGATCATAAACTGTATCCTCTGATGAAACTTGGAGATCGTCGCTTGATATAATTGCTTCCACTCCTGCTAATGGTAGAGACATAAACTCCACTGGAAACCTGAAAAAAAAAACAAAAAAAAAAAACTAAGTAAACTGTTTATAAAAATGCATACAAAACTATTATTATCATCTTGAAGTCTTACTTGGTAATATCTTTGTAGCGAGCAGTAAGGAACTGTTTTGCAGCATCGGCTAAAGGCTGAACAGATTCAGCCATAAGAACAGTAGAGGGAAGCTCGAGGTAGAGCAGGGCAGACTCGGTAGTCATTGGCATGCTTTGGAGAACTTTAATGCAGTAACTCATGCAAGAGGTGACTTCAAACTTATCAGCAGCCATTAGCAGATCTAACCATGCAGGTGCTGTGGTGAAAGTCACCGGATTGGTATAGATAAAGTTTAAAAGCTCCATCACAGCAGCTTCCTCTGCCAAAACACACACAAAAGTAACACACAACAAATCAATCCATTTGTGCTTAGTCTTGTTAAAGATATAAATCTAAAGACAAACTAACATCACAATTCAGATATGTTAATAGTTTTTGTTGAAATGGTGTTACCTGATGCATGGATTAGAAGAGTGACACGCTTTTCCTCAGATTCCTTCATTCCATTAGAGAACAACTAAAAAGGAGAAGCGAATGAACTGAAAAGTGAGAGACACATACATGGACAAGAGACTACTACTACCATCAAAAGGAAGCATTACCTTGTAAAAGAAAGGGCTTTTGGCAGCTAAGAGAGGAGAACTAACATGAACTTCTCTAACCCTATTAGCTCTAAAATTGTCCAAAGACTCAAACCCCCAGTATGGCTTGCTAGTTGCTTCGTTCTCATCACCTAAAAAGCAAAATCAATAAAGTTACATACCAAAAAAAAGAGCTCTTGAAAAAAGGATGTTTGCTTTAGTATTATCCATGTTTCAAAAATCGGAAAAATAAGATAATCCTCTCGAAAATGTCTAGCTACAAAGATTTCTTGAACATTGGCATTACCTGATAAAGCCTCGTCAACCATAGCCTCATCAAAATTATTGAATAATTAATAAAATTTGACTCAGTTCTTTTGTATTGTTATCTAATTTTACTAATTTGTCAAAATTATCGAATAATTAATCCAAAATTAAACTATCTTATATAATGTCAAAATATATATTTTTTATAGAACAACAGTTCGCGTAGTGGATAATTCTTTACAAATACCACCTAATTACCGTCTAACAGTTTCTTGAACATTGGGAATACCTGATAAAGATTCTTCAACCATAGCCTCATCAAAATTATTGAATAATTAATAAAATTTCATTCATTTCTTTTGTATTGTTATCTAATTTTACTAATTCATTAAAATTATTGAATAATTAATCCAAAATAAAATATCTTATATAAAGTCAAAATATATATTTTTTAATATGCCTAGTGGATAATCCTCTACAAATACCACCTAATTACCGTTAACGATTTCTTGAATATTGGCATTTGGCAATACCTGATAAAGCTTCTTCAACCATAGTCTCATCAAAATTATTGAATAATTAATAAATTTTGACTCATTTCTTTTGTATTGTATATCTAATTTTACTAATTCATCAGAATTACTGAATAATTAATCCAAAACTAAAAGATCTTATATAAAGTTAAAATATATATTTTATAGAACCTAATAAAGCCTCGTCAACCATAGCCTCACCTTCATACAATTCCTGTTGCTCACTTGTCAAAATCTGCTCTTCAGCACCCGCCATAATGGTAACTAAAAAACGAAACCAAACACACATTAGTTTAAAACCTATAAAACAAAACCTAAAACCATACAAACAATTCAGTTGATTAGAAACAAATTCCATAACAGAACCAAAACAAATGTCTTTTCCTTTATAAGATAATAAAAAAATATCATAATTACCAGATTCCTTCTTGATAGTATTATCCTCCCTTCTCCTCTTACGACGACGAGACCCTTCAGCGTCGGGGTTAGAGCCCATGATCTCGATCCTAAGCACCCGATCCGAGAAGTTTTTGTTGTTGAAAGCGAAGCCGAAATCGACTTCAGGGAAGGAGAAGGAATCTTCACTAAGAACATCAGAATCAAACCCGAAATCAGTATCAAATGGAAACACATTCTGGTCCATGACTAAAGATATGAATCAAGTGAATTGATGTTTGAAAGAGATGAAAGGATACGAAGAGGAAGAGAGTGTACTTGTATATATATATATATAGGTATCTAAGAACCGGTTTGGTTTATGATTCAATATCGGGGAGTAAATCTTAGCTGTATATTTGGTCAGAGAGATTTGGATTTGTTTCTCAGAAAAGATTATAGTGTGCATTCAATTTTGTCTTGTCTTTTTGCTCTGGTCTTATTAATTAATGTCTATCTTTGAATGCATGTACATTAAGACCAAAAGTGTAACGGTTTTTCTAATTTTATTACACTAGAAACTCTATGAATTAATAAAAAAAATTCAATTTTAAATTTGACTGGTTTAAAATATAAGATAAATTGATAAAATAATTTGATAATTATTTTTCAACCTATAAAACAAACCTTAGCTGTATTTTTGGTCAAAGAGATTTGGATTTGTTTCTGAAAAAGCATTATATTGTGCATTCATTTTTTTTTCTTTTCTTTTCTTTTATCTCTGCTCTTATTAATGTACATCTTTGAATGCATCTTAATTACATTAAGACAAGAAATGTAAATTCTAATGTTACTCTCTGTTTTAATTTGTAGTTGTACGATAAAATTTGTGTTTTAAAATAAGTGTTATTTTATAATTTTACTGTAAAATTTATTGATTTTTTATACATTTTTATTGGTTAAAATAAAAGAGAGATAATAGTAAATAAATCAACTTAACTAACCGGTTTAGTTTATGAAACAATATCCTGTTTGTTATGTTTATGTCAAAAAAAATTTGGATTTGTTATGAAAATATTTCACGGCGCATTTATTTTCCTCTTTAATTCTGCTCATAATAATGTATTTTTAAATGTTTTTAATTACATGTGTTACTTTCCTAGTGATTAATTAGATAAGCTTAAGATCGGCCTTCGTAGAAAGATGTCTTTTTTTTTTCTTTTTTGACAAAAGATTTTAATGTAGAAAGACACTTACTAAACAAAATAGGTATTTTATAAATTTGCAACATGGCAGTGTTGATCTAACACTTTTATGTCATAAACAAACATTTAATAACATGTTTTAATTTTTTCTGTATATAATATAAGATATTGCACAAATTTTTTATTAACTAAATCAACTATATTAGTAATTATTAAAGATAATTTTACAAAGTTAATTGTATAGTAATATGTGTTAATACCAATCTCATATTTAAAAATAATATCTTACATATATTTTATATAATTTTCACTTATATTTTATATGATTTTCACTTATATACTATATAATTTCACTTCTATTTTATATAATTTTACTTATATTTGTATATATTTTACCAAAGGTTATAGAAAACATAATTGTATTTATTTGATAATAATATCTTTGTAAAAATATTAGTACTATTTATAAGAATTTTATTAATACATCTATTAGATGATAAAAAATACATAAATTATCTCATCTTAAGCCATGGTTGGGATGACATGCATTCTGGACCGGTTCTGCAATATATAACTACTACCTGAAAGCCGTAATGCAATAATTCATAATTGAAGACTAAATAAATGAAATAGACTGATCTTATATATTTATCTATATATCTATCTATTTATTTATCTAATAACCGATTTGGTTTATGAACCAATATCCTGAGTGAATCTTAGCTGTATACTTTGGTCAAAGAGATTTGGTTTGTTTCTGAGAAAACATTATATTGTGCATTCACTTTTTCTTGGGTTTTAGCTCTGATATTATTAATGTATTTATATTCTTGAATGGCTCTTAATTATATCAAGACAAAAAGTGTAAGTTTTACAAAATTATATAAATTAATATTCGATAAATTAATAAACATAAACTAATATTTTTCTGATTCTAAGTTGGATCATTTCAAAATATTACATAAATCGATAAAATAATGTGATAAGATTTTTAAATAAATTCTATATAAATATATTGCTTCATTAAAATATCAAGAATTTATATGTATATATATATATAAGTACAAACTAACTATTATATTGTTTATTTTACATTCATAACAAAATTATCTTTATATTTCTTAACACTTAATATATTTTGAGAATATTTAGTAAAATTAAAAATTACATTTAATTTTTTGAGACATATTTATAAAAAATTAATTAATATAATAAAAATAATATAAATTTCGAAATTCAAAATTTAATTAATCTGTATATACATTAAAGTTGATTATTTTCTTATTTAAAATATATCTTAAGATAAAAAATCTGTTTTTTATAAATTAATAACTGTATAAATTAATAAATTAGCAAAGTTCCAATATTATCAATCTATAGATTTTTTACTATAACTAGATCAACTTAAATACCTAATAACCGGATTGGTTTATGAAGCAATTTCCGATTTTCTTTAGATATTTAATGGTTTGCTATGTTTATGTTAAAATAGATTTGGATATGTTTCTGAGAACATATGTAATGCCGCATTCATTTTTTCTTGTTGAATGCTTCTTAATTACATTAAGACACAAGTGTTAGTGGTTTCCTATGTTTATTATTTAGATCCCCCTTGACTGTCTAATAACCGGTTCGATTTATATGAACCAACTTCCGGTTTTTTAGATATTATTCTTTTTGTTTCATTTTGTTTTTAAAATATCATTCTAACATTTTCAATGCAAAATTTTTTATCAAATCATTTTCTTAGATTTATTTTATTATTTTTAATTTGTGTGATATACAATGATATTTTTTTACGAAACGGAAATGAATAGTTAGCTATGTTTTATATCAAAAGAGCTTTGAATTTGTTTATGAGAAATGCACTTAATGCCGCATTCATTTTTCCTCTCTTTAACTTTGCTTATATCAAAAGAGCTTTGAATTTGTTTATGGGTCACACTTTCCATCCATTTGACTCTCCGATCTTGTAGGTTTTTCCGACAGGAAGGATCTTGCTAGGATGTGGTGGTGGAGGAACGGGACAGGAGGGGTCATGGACGACGAGAACGTCGAGTTTCTGTCCCAATACGCATTGAGCTTGATTTGAGGTGATGAAGTAGTGAAAACATGGTTCCGTGAGAGTCACGGCATCATATCCTGTGTTGTAGACGTTCTTAGGAGAAGAATAATCGCATAACTCGTATTCAAGAGCGCCAGAAACTTGAGTCACGTCGTTGATGTTTGGATCGTATCCGAAGACGCCATTATCTACCAAAGATGAACAAGAAAGATCACAAGTATGATATGAAGAAAGAAAGTTTTGGAAACAAATCTTGAGCTAGCTGAATGAGAAAGCGTTAATGAATGTGTGAATGCAACAAAATAGAATTACCCTAACCCTCCTTTTATAATGGTTTCACAGATCCTATTTTTTCTTTTTTAAAGATTTGCCTCTCAGATTAACATATTAACATTCAGTAAAAAGTTTTAATCCTTTAATGTGTTTGTCTTAACCATCTCCATCAAATCCAAATTATTATTTACTTTTCTATTGAGTTGATATTTTAGGTCTCTACTGAGTTGATGGGTCAGAGTAATTCTCTGATAAGTTTCTTTTGAGATAGTTATTATTAAGTAACAAAGTAAATAAAACCTTAATCAAAAAGTTGCAGAATCCATACAAACGTTTAGGGCTGGGCAATCGGGGTCCCAGTCGGGTTTCGGTTCGGGTTCATTCGGGTTTCGGGTTTTCGGATTCATGAATTTCAGCCCCATTCGGATATTATAAAAATTCGGGTCGGATTCGGTTCGGGTTTAGTCGGGTTCGGTTCGGGTTTAGTAACATGTCCAAGATCCGGTTGAACCCGAAATAGTTTCGGTTTCGGATACTAATCGGGTTATCGGTTCTAAAAATACTAATTTATACTCAATTATACTCACTATATTTTCAATCATTTTATTAAATTTGTGTATTTAGCTTCTACAAACCATATTGTTCTCCTTCAAAATAATATTGTGAAACTCATCTATCAACCATATAAAATTTGTCATTGAACTATATGTGACAACACTAAACATATCATGATTAATGACAAACCAAAGCCTTGTATGAACGAAATATAATACATAATGAAACATAAAAAAATTAAAGTTAACAACTAACAATTCAATAAACATAAGAAGTACTATTTAAACTTTAAAAAACAACATTATATAAACTTCAAAACAAATTTATTCGTAACTTAACTTCAAATGTAATGTCAATCATAAACATTAATATTAACCAAATAACACTATATATTAGACTAAATATTTGAGCTAATTATTTATATCATAACTAATTATTGTAGGTACTCAATAATATATTA